TAAAGTGTTGTTTAGTCTTTAGTCCAAATAAAAACTTTTTTTGCCTGTATTTCATTCCTTGATCTTCCTGTCTCTCTGTGGTGTTGTCAGGTCCGTTGTAGAGATGGAACTCAAGAGTGTGATGCAGGCAGCAGCCAGAGATCACATCAGAGATCGCTGTATCAAACTGGACCAACACGCTAGAAGCCGCCAGGAAGCTCTCAGAAACCTCCGCAGCCAGTGGCAGAGCATTCTGCACTTTAGACAACTAGTGGTGAGAGTCACAATTGACAGTATAAGACTTGTCATTACCTTTTAATGTCACTGGTGAATCAGGCATTTTGTTAAGTATAAAAACTTTGTGAAAAAATAACTCTAACTCTTACAGTGAGGATGTAATAACTTCCTCCTGCACTTTTGGTAACATGCAAACCAACATGCAAAAACATGCAGAACAACACTCATAAACGCTTCTGTTTTCATTCGGTTAAGGGTCATTATAAGTCATGATGATTGTGAAACACTAGACAGCGTGATACTGTGACATTTTTTGAGACCGTTATCATGCTGTAAAAATCTCACTCCATTAGAATTCTAGTGTGACAAGAGGGACATCTTGATATACAAGATTTTTATCAACTTCAAATGCTGAGCTGTCAATATTTCTGAAATGTAAATCATTACAGTTGTTGTGGGGTTGTGTCTCCGCAGGTTCTCAGACAGGAGCAGATCAGAAGTCTGATTAAGGGGAACTCCACAGCCAAGACAGAGCTGATCCATCTGCACAGAGAGGTGTGGATGTTCTACACCTGTGACACTTAACTAGACAGATTGTTTATAGAATTAGTTTCATGCTTTGGTGAAAGAAATGTTTTTGGTCTCTTTTAGCCTGAAAAACTTGTCAGGAAGATCTCATTTCTGGACATCTCTTTGAGATTTCTATCCCTCCATTATGTTTCAGTTACAGGATTATCTCCAGAATAAGATGGTGCCGCAGTTTGATAACGTCACCGCTGCAGCCAAAAGTCTAAGGAACTCTATTTCAAAAGATGCCAGACAGTTTGGAATGGTTTCACTCTTTGCTCTGGATCGCAGAACTGTTGAAGGGTAAGAGAACGTAGCGCTACTTAAAGACCACATTCAGATGACATTCAGTTGAGCACATAAAGAATTACATTTTATTTTTATTGCACAAAAAAAGTTTCCTAAACTAACACAGAAACTGAGGACTTCATATCCAATCACACCCTCAGTAGTTTTAATTTGATGTTATATTAAAAATTCATGGAGGGAGGCAGATGAAAGAAGCAGAACAAAAACATCTGTCGGTAAAATATTCTAAAAGTGGTAAACGTGTTTCCACCTGCAGTCCACTAAAGCATTTGACTTCAGTGTAAAGTGCATGACAAGAAAAGTAATTTTTAATCATACTGGTGACGACTGTGGAAGACAAATGTAAAATTGAAAATGTCCGTTTCAGAATGCAGAGAATCCCTGCATCATCACTGTCCATCCATCGCTTGCAGTCCTCAACCTTCAGTAGCATGTGTCAGAGCCTGGAGTTCCCACTGTACAAGGTGAGTGTTGACATATAATATATCACAGTTGTGACTTTAAAACCATTCCGCTTTAAAGATTGAATGTCATACTAATTCTTATTTTACATCTTTGGAATGAAATCATCATTATAGAACATAGGGCTCAGTTACTTGTATCTTTTGGATCCAGTGTCATTATCATTTCTCAAAATCTAACGTTCTAACTTAACACTTAGACTATGCATTTTACTTTGCATCTAAATCACATTTTGCTGCATAACTTTGCATGTGATGTTTGGCAGTGGAAACCTGTATTATGTATGTATAAAAGTTGAGCGAGCAGCTCCCACAGTTCACACTGCTCCTGAAACTCCTCGTACTCAGGTTGGTTTATATTCACCACCTGAATGCCACTGCCATCGCTTGAACCCAGTCGTCTCACTAACAGTGCTGATAAAAATATCCATGAAAATCTGTTTTCCTGCACAGAAGCATAACATCAACAGCCTTGTTTATTCTAGGCCACAATGACTTTGCTTTTAAGGAACATCTACTAGTTTAACAAACACTTCAACAAACTAACTTTTGCTTTTATATAATTAACATTTAATTTTTAATGGAATTATTTGTATTTTGCCTTGTTCTTTGACGCAGACTAATGTATCTCCTTCTTGCACTTTAGGCTCCAGAGGAGTTGTGTTTACACGCTCGCTCTCAGCAGCTTGAGTTACGTTTCCTCCGTCAGTTGCTACAACTTCACTCTGCCACTCTTCAGAAAATACAGAAGGAAACAGAAATGTTGCATGCATCTGATCAAAAAGGTAATCAGAGGAACTTATCTAGAGAGAAGCTTTTATCACACTCAAGCGCTGTTTTTTTGTTTGTACATGTACTACTTGATGAAGAATTTATGTCACTTTGGCAAAAAGAAGGTTTAGGAACTGAGATCCGTTTTAGTAACAACAAATCTTCTGTTTGTCCTCATTGTGTCTCTTAGCCTTGCTGTCCAGAGTTGTAGAGGAGGATCAGAAGCTTCTGAAGAGTCTGGTACCAAGAGTCAGAGGCCTCACCCAACGTTGTGCACAGGGGATTTCTTATGGAGACCAAGTCAAAACAGCCATCTCATACTGGTGAGGCACATTTCTGCAGTAAATAACAGTGCATCCATCGCATTAAGCACTGTTATAGCAGTCAGAATGTCTATAAAGGAGAATTCAATTGGGGTCTATTGGAATAGTTTCACCATCGTTTATGTGCCCAACAAGCAGCTTTCATAAGGTCACATTCTGACAGAGACAATGTTATGCAGGCAAGATTTGTGGTGAGTAAGTCAACAGCTAAGAAGCTCAAACCTCATTCAGGAGAATGTGAAGGAGCTTTGTTGCTGCTGCACAGCTGCTATAACCGGAAAAAGTAAAATTGTGCATTTTGTCCAAACACTACAACATGTATTTTCTGACTGTGCAAGAACAAAAGCCTGCTTTGACATGTGAGTTTTGCAAAACTCCTGATGTGTCTGACAACTTACAAGACAGAGTAACTGTGCAACAATCAGCTCAGTGGTATTTCACAGAAACCATACCAAGTTCAATTTACTTGGTTTATTTCGACATCAGAATACTCAATCATGTGTTTCGGAAACAGGCAGTATTGATGACCAAAGATATGAATATAAGACACTTTTTAATTGTTCAATGATGGTAAACTTTGTTGTAAACTACTTTGATCATTTTTTTTTTCTTTTCTGATATATGAATTTATTTGTGTTGTTTTTTTCTCATACCTCTACTTGGGATTCTATAGTCTAGTTTTTTTTTTAACTCTCTCTGTTTGTGTGTTTATACATGTAGGTGGGATCAACCAGTCCAGCATGTCCTCCCTGAAGCCAGTAAAGGAGGAATGACTTTTCAACAGTGGCTACAAAGATGGAAACTGGCTGCCAGTGCCTCTTAAGCGACAGCTCATAGTTAATATAATGGAGATCCCTCTAAGCACCTCTCAGTGGTGAAATGCTGCTGTCAGGGCTGGCTACCAATGGACTGAGTGGGCTACTGTCTGATCCACAGGCCATGTCGATTTTCACTGGTCTATCAGTTTGATTAGGTATTAATGTGTTGTGTTCTATGCACCATTAGAATGGAATGTCATGTCCCAGGTGTCTGGTCTTGTCTTGTGGTGGTGCCCAGGGTTAAATTCTATTGTAAGAACCTCATTTTTTAGTGTATACTGTAGAACATGGTCCCAATATAGTTGTGTTTAGTCAAATCACCACAGACTAAGATTTACTAAACATCATTGCAGCATGGGAGGTTTGGTTAAACAGGATTTACTGAAAACTTGGGGGATGGGATGGGGTGAACAGAGCAGCATTTATTCACCTGGGGGCACCTTAACAGAGCAATAATTCAATTAGCCATCTGATTTGATGATTGATTCATTATCAATCAAAAATGTCAAAAATTTGCTGGCTTTTAGTTTCTCGTATATAAAGTTTCTGCTATTCTTTGTTTCAATATGTATTTATTAGGATCAACCCCTCGTCCCAGGTTGTGGACGCTTGGTTGGACAAAACAAGACATAAGATGATCCTACACTGAGCTGTAGGATGTTGTGACAATGATCACTGATTTACAAAATCAACTGCAGCCCTCAGCAGTAATGGTTGTCACTAATTCTTGTTTTCTTTTCTAGGCTCTTTATGCTCCTCCTCTTTACCTTGTGAAAGTCAGTTACTAATAAATACAAGACCAAGACTTTGCCCCTGTCTTCCTTGAAATGCATTCCAAGCTGTGGAGAAAAAAAACAGTAATGATTTTGCACTTGGGTGTATTCCCTACGCAATTCGATCCCTCTGACCACCAAGCATGTACCCAAAATATGTGTAGTAAAGGCATCCCTGAGAACAAAAGAGATATCATGTGATTAATTTCTGTCTGTGAATCCAGTCTGAGCAGTTGAGAACTGGAGCTGCTTTGTTGACACCAAAAAGAGTCATTTAAGACTGCGGTGAATGTGAAACATGAACACCTGCTTTTAAACTGACAGAGGTCACAAGGTGTTTTGAGGAAATGGCATCTATGGGTTTTAACATTGATACGAAACTGTTAGTCAGTAAAGTTTGGTGTATTCACAGAAAACATGCCCTGCTCATGTGTAGAGCTTTATTGGACACAGTCATTTTAAAGATATGGGGAACAAGATGTGCTGGAGAGTTATGAACCACAATCCCCAGTGATGTTGTCTTCAAATAACTGAACTAAAGACTCAATCATTTTATAAAGTGTATCAGCATATTGTCTCAGTTGTTTGTTTGTTTTTGTATATAACTTTTTTATTTGAAGTATAAATACATGGCATATGCAATTAATATAACATAGAACACAATGGAGCACGGAATGTCAACAATTATAGAAGATAAATACAGACAAGATAAATATAAAAATAAATTAAATAATAGTTAAGGGGCTTTCAATCATTCTAAGTTATCAATAAAGCTCTTTTTCTGCTCCATATACATCAGAGATTGTTTTTTGTATCATGAGGAAGTCCTACCATGTTTCCTTTGCCGGTTGTTTGTGTGTGTAAATGTTCCCCTGTGGAGAAATGAAAGAGAGAAAGAGGAAAACAGCCTCTGCAGCTCTTCATCCTCGCACCAGCCCGGTGCTGACGGGCGTCACGGTCCGAGTTCAGTCCGCGGTCGGTGCAGCAGCGGCGGGCACGGCGGAGTGGAGCGGCCGCCAGTGTTCCTGTGGAGGCAGATGGAGAGACGTAGTTCTTTGTAGCAGTGGAGGGGGAGTGGAGCAATCTGATTCTTATGAACTCTGCTCCTCCCCTCGCTGCGGCTGCGCACTTCCATTTTTCACTTTTTTTCAGTTTCTCACTCCTACTCTGGCTTCCGGACGCCTCGAACAGACCGCTGCCGCCGAATTTAAAGAGACAGGCGATAGTTATTTTAAAAACGACCAACGCCAACCATTGTCCCCGCCGCTCGTTCCCCTGCACTTCTCGCCTCGACTCGCTCCAATTCGACGGCGATGTTGGCTCCGAGTCGCGGCGAGTAGCAGCTCGTCTGTCATCCCCCTCCACCGCGCTCCGTCCGTCCTTCCCCCTGCGCCGCCGAGGAGCCGACACTGTCCAGCCAGGCAAAGTAGAGGGCTGCTCGCTGGCTGGCAGGCGGGCAGGCAGCCTGGCTCCCCGACCCAGAGGAAGGTTTGTCGGCTAGCCAACAACTGGAGGTAACAACAGCGGGAGCTTCCCTCTCAAGTTGTGGTCGCGGCTCCGGAGCCTCCCCGTCGCCGGGATAATGGCGAAGCTTCAGGCGCACAGCACCGCGAAGCAAATAAACCAAATTCAAGACAAGCCTTACGTGGTGACACAAAAGCAAGTGCAGCAGCAGCAGCAGCAGCAGCACTTCCAGAAGCTGAAGGTAAGAAGACAAGCGGACACGACACGGGGGAAAAGTCCCCTCGGAGTCACAACCATTTTGTCGGTCGGATCGCTGCGTTGGATGTGAGGCTTTTTCTCCCTCGGCGCAGAGAGTAGTGAAAGGAACGGCTGGCTAGCTCCGTTAGCTCGCTGGCCTGTTAAAAGTAATTCATCGCCAAACAGCCCAAACACTGGGGTTTGGGGTGAAATGTGGAGGCTAATGGAGGATCTTAGAGTGACCGTGGAGCGGCACAGTTAGCGGGGGTTTCGTATTTACGATGTCAGTAACAGCCGCTGTGAGCAAACGCTAACTCAAACCCTGCTTGTGGGAAGTTCCTCCTTGTTCGTCTTTTTTTCTCTCTCCCTCAGCCACCCTGAACAAAGTGGGGGACGTCAGGCAGGCTAGCGAAGAACGGCTACTTCACTTCACTAGCAGCTTCTTTTGTTGTCGCACTGTTTGAATACGGTCGTTTTCAGTCATTTCACTGCAAAGTCAGACGCCAGCTGCGACTGACCGTATTGTGTAAACGTATATGTGGCGAGGTGTTGCAAGTGTTGGTGGAGTTATTATCGCCAGTTGGCTAACGTTAGCTTCAGCCCCTGTGTGGATGTGGATTATTTCTGAACAACGCTTCGTGTCGTTTGTCGTGAGCTGAACCCAGCGAAGCAGGTTGTGACTAAAGAAAACATGGTCCCGCGAACAAAAGCAGCCCGACGTCTTCTTGTGTTCATCCGTTTTATTTATTTATCCAGCGGCGGCAGGAGTACAGCTTGTACGGCTAACTAGTGCATTTGTAAACCAAGCACTCCAGCTGACAATGGACAAAGCAAACATCGCCTGTTTATATAACTTCACGCACAAAATGTCCACTCGTGGCGATCAAATATATCGTTTTGTGTACATGCACCGCTTGAAGTGTGATGGCAGCGGTTCCTCGTATGTGCTCTGTTAGTGTAGGTGTAGTACAGACATGGGGACAGACCATTGTCCTGTGACACATGTTTAACCATCTGATTGCTCTATCTCTGGAAGTTGCTACTTCATCAACTCCAGACGAGGCTGATCACACTTTGTGCTGCATTGACAGGGTTCACACACACACACACACCCTGGAAAACCTGGACATTCAGACAGTATCGTGGTAGTAATCTGGAGTTCGATTAAAATGTCCAAATATTGACATCTGAGTGGCTCCTTTTCTGGAATTTCCGGAATTTTATTTGAAAAAACAAATGATTTGCAAGCAGAATTTTAGAAATAAGTTCTAACTTCCTACTCAGTTACAGAGGAGACTGTTTACTCTGTGCTGCATTGACAGGGTTCTCACACACATCCTGGAAAACCTAGACATTTAGAGAGTACTTTTCCAGGCATGGAAATGAGCTGGAATTGGATTGAAATCCTATGAAATAATCCTTTTAATTTAGGTTTTATTTTAGTCCCTTACATGGACCACCTAGGTGAACTTGTAAATCTTATTATTTAACTAGCTCAACCAAAACCATAACACCACATGTTTGATTTACATAATGACATAATCTATAATGTTAACTAGCCGGTAGCAAGTTTAAAGTCAGCCTTCTGAATTCCTGTTTACATTCTCACAACTGATTTGAAGGTGGATTTGTGTGAACTGTCTGGAAAGGTCCTGGAAAACGGTTTTGTTAAAGCAGAGGGAGCCCTGACTAATGATCTCTTGTTTTTTCCCCACTCTCTGTAGGTCGAAGATGCCTTGTCATATCTGGACCAAGTTAAAATTCGGTTTGCGAATGACCCCGGCATATACAACAAGTTTCTCGACATCATGAAAGAATTCAAGTCGCAGAGGTATTTATGCAAACAAAGAACATACAAGTTTAATATACAGCGAGGCATGTGAAAACAGCTCACCCACTATCAGTCCCAAGAGTGCCAGAAGTTATTCAGTTTTTAGTTTTACATTTTTAATGAGATGGCTCATGAGACGTTGATGGTGGAGCTTGCATGTAGAATTTGATTAGTTTTCAAAACATTAGTACCCGGGGATTAACCACACGTTTTAGAGCTTTTATCAATAAGTAAGAAATGGCGGATAGCTTCCTGCTGTAATTAGGCAATCGTTTGTATTATCTTGAAATGTAAAATGTGTGGGATGACAGAATTTATAATTAGTGACTCAACTGTGCTCCTTACTACGCTGCAAGTCTCATTGATTAAGAGCTCGTTGTCGTTCTGAAGCACATGTGAGAGGAAGCTAATCTTTATTTGCCTCTGGTAACTACTCTATTTCTAAAATGTCCTTTTCTCTCTTTTCTCTTGAATAGCATTGACACACCAGGTGTGATAAACCGTGTGTCACAGCTCTTCCATGGACACCCAGACTTAGTGTTGGGCTTCAATGCCTTCCTCCCACCAGGGTATCGGATAGAGGTCCCCAAGAATGGGATGGCTTTCCTCCAGTCTCCGTTCTCTACACAGGTGAGACTCTCACCTCACAGTTGATGTTGATAAATTCTCACAGTTCGTGCTTTATTTATGTTATAACTTATACAAATTACAACAGGCCCATCACAACAAATGTATGTGTGCTGAAAAATCAACAGAGCTTTTAAACTCCTGAGAGGAAACAGGTACCTCTTTTTTCTACTCAGAAGAACTGATATTGCTGTGATGAAGGCTTCACACCAAAACAAAGCAGCTAATCTGTCAGTTTTCAGAAATGATCAAGACTAGAGGAGATTCTTTGACTTTTGTTTAACCATAGGAGTTCCTCCCTGTCCCTGAATTTGAATGAAGCAACAAATGATATGCAACCAAATTTGAGGTTTTAGTTAAGATTCCAACGTTTGAAACGATCAGAAATATGCCATGCTGAGTTGAGTCTAATACAAAGATTGATAAGGTGCTCAGATATTTGTTTCAGTGCAGAGTCAGCCTTAGCTTAGTTTTTATATTTTGTTTGTATTGTTTAAGCAAGGTGTTGTGAGTTTTTGTTTTTTAAACCCTTCCAAGCCCGAGAGTAAACTACCCGAGCCAAGCATTCTGTTTTTGAGCCTGATGCAGTTTAAGTAAGGTTCTCTGAGCTTATAGTATACAAAATCATTTTATAACTTGAAGCTTCTCAATAAGAAATTAAAGGGAAATGATCCCTCCCTGTTTATTTTCAATAACACCATATTTACTGACGGCCATTTTGTCTGAGTGTGTAATTTGTGCAGTGTATAGGGCCACAATGCCACATTTTATATATATGGAAAAGATGAAACTCATATTTTCATTCTGTTTCACCTCAAAGAATTTGTAGTTTTATCATTGGGTTTTAGGAGAGTTGCAAAAATTACAGATTAGATTCTTATAATATAGAGTGATTTAGGACACACCCACTGAAACAGTAGTGTGCCAAATTTTAACAACCATCTGTGTTTCCATTTACTTTCAAGTTTTCGTCTCTAAATCTTAACTGAGGTAAACAATGTTAAGCCTTACTTAATGCCCTTCTTATTATATAGCTCAACATACTCTGTCTGTCTTTCATTGGTGCAGGTATCCCCAGGCCAGCAGGGGAAGAGTCTCACCACCCCTGCAGTGCCCGCAACCTCAGGTAGTGCCTCTGCCGCCAACGTTGAAGCTGGACCCGCCCAAACCAGCGAAGTCAAGGCTGCCTCATCAGAGTCCCTACCCTCTTCAACCTCAGCAGGACCCACAGAGCCCTCTAGCAGACTCTCTCTTCCCCTGACAAGCAGAGAGAGTCAGAATCAGGCCACCACCTCATCTGTGTCCCCACCCGCCTCAGAGACAAGCCCCGTAGAGTTTGACAGTGCCATCAGCTACGTAAACAAGATTAAAAATCGCTTTCTAGATCACCCAGAGATCTACAGAGCCTTCCTCGAGATTCTTCATACATATCAGGTACTTCAGAGGGAAAAGGTGGTGACTTGCATAGTTTTTTTTAGATGTAAAGTAATTTTCAGTTAAAAAAGCTGTAGTTTTTCTTACTTTTCAGTCCCACTCCACTTCATTATTGTAGGTTTCGAGAAAACATAAAAATTTCTACAACAGTCTAGACTTGAAGGACAATGAAAGAATACTAACCTGTCTCCGATGTTTTTTTTGTTTTTAAATAAGGTTAATTTCTCACCTGATCACATTTCCCCCCCTTACTGCTCTTTAGAAGGAACAGCTGGAGGTGAAGGAAAGTCGAGGCAGCCGAGGCAGCAGCGGAATGACAGAAGATGAGGTGTTTTCTAAAGTCGCCAGTCTCTTTAAGGGACAAGAAGACCTGCTGGCGGAGTTTGGACAATTCCTGCCTGACGCCAAGAGATCACTGGTCAGTAAAGCAGCACAAGACATACAGTTAATGTTCTGCTTTCAAAACGGATGAGAAAAAGAACAGAAGGGACATAACCAATACGTTCTGATGTGTTGTTGTCATTGTGTTTTCCCCTTTCAGTTTTTTTAACAAATTTCACAATTACTGCTATTTTGTATTTGTGCTACTATTCAGAAATGTATTTAATAGTAAGTGCTGTGTTAAACAAGTATTTCTTAATTTAGAAAAAGGACGCTTAAAATTCATGGACAAAGTGTCACGGATCAGCCTGAAGTAGAACTGAAATCATTAATTGAGTCAATTGAATGACAGACCATTAATTAGGTTAACTGTTTTGATTTTTGTTTTGTTTCAGACATAATTCAAGCAAACGTGTTGCCAATGTTTGTTTCTTTACCATTTCCAGATACTTTATACATCAAATTATTTTTGGGGAAACAATACAAAACAATGTAAATTGCAGCCCTAGTCTATAGAAGTATTATTAATAGATTTCACAACTTGTGTGTTTGTGCCTCCTCTCCTGTAGTTCACAGGGAGCTCACTGACAGGGGGGAAAGAGCAGCTGAAAAGGCCGGAGGAAGATGACGCGATAACCAAACAGAACAAAAAGAGGCCCAGACCCATCCTACTGCAGCACATGTCCCCACTGCTGAAGGTAAATCCCCCATTTAGAATACCTGCCCCGGGCAATGCGCCAGTGCACATATACATGTCCTTGAAGTCAAAAAGGTTCAGCAACCCTCTATATCATCGTCTATCATCCCAAAGGCTTCAACCACAATAACTTTGATAAGTGATGTGTAAATGTGAAAATTATTAAGTTTTTGTTTTCTTTTTCATGTAGAAAAAAATGAAGTATTCCTGTACCAAAGATCAGTCCTTTGCTTCGGTCGGCAAGCACGGAGTTTTAAGAGAATTCTCCTTCTTTGATAAGGTGAGGCATCGTTTTCCTTTTTCATACTGTACTTTTGACCCCCTGCTGCTGTACTTCCTTTTCCCTTCTGTCGGTCTTTACACATTTCCTTAAATCCTCTAATTTCTTTGTCATCCCACCCATCATTCAGGTTCGTCGCCTGTTTAAAAGCCAGGAAGTGTACGAGAACTTCCTGCGCTGCATCGCCTTGTTTAACCAGGAAGTAGTTTCGGGAGCAGAGCTGCTTCAGCTAGTTACTCCTTTCCTGGGGTGAGTGGATGAAAAAATGACAGAGATGGATAAATGTATGAAATGATTGAGTAAAATGAGAAAAGTGGATGCACAAATGAATAAGTAAAGTAGCTGCAGATAGCCTGACAAATGCTAATGCTAATGTCTGGTTTTGTGTTGACGTTCAGGGCCATTTAAGAATTTGCGAGGTTATATCAAAGAGCACTGATTCAAGTCCAATTAAATATAAATGACGTCGCATTCAAATTTAGCAGTCTTTTTCTGAAGGGAAGTTCTTGCTCTTTGGTCAGCTGCTCTTCTTCTCATTTATCTGTCAATTATGATTTCATCTCCTTCCAGGAAGTTTCCTGAACTGTACACACAGTTCAAGTCATTTCTCGGGGACAAAGAGCTCTCTCATGCTGTGTCAGGGCTGTCGGATCGCTACATGGAGGGGGGAGGGGGCAGGGAGGTGGATTATGCCTCCTGCAAGCGCCTGGGTTCTAGCTATAGAGCACTGCCCAAGACCTACCAGCAACCTAAGTGCAGCGGGCGCACTGCACTGTGCAAGGAGGTACGCCCACATACATTTTACTAAGAGTTATCACTAGATCAGTGCTTTGCTCAAAGGTTCCCTCTGCAAGTGTCTGAGAAACATTTTTTGTATATATTCAGTGTTTTTTTGTATCCTTAAAGCCTAACAAACATGATAGTTTGAAACAAACATAGTTTACGTCCATGTTTTCAACTTCATTGCCATTATCACCACTTATCAACCTGGATCTGCAAAAAAAATTAATAACTTCTTGAGAGGCACATTTCCCATACTTCTACCAAATTTCATGGAAATCTGTTCAATAGTTTTTGCATTATCCTGCTGACAAACAAACAAATGTACAAGAGTGAAAACATAGCCACCTTCGCAGAGGTAACAACACAAGGACCGAGTCATAAAGAGATTTCCCTGTGGTCAAAAACATCACAGGTTATGATAGAATGGTCTTTTATCATGAAATATCTTCCTGTAGAAAAGTTTTCCCATTGATAATAATTCATCAATATATGCATTTATTATAGGTGTTAAATGATACCTGGGTGTCCTTCCCCTCCTGGTCTGAGGACTCCACCTTCGTCAGCTCGAAGAAAACTCCTTATGAGGAGCAGTTGCATCGCTGCGAGGATGAAAGATTTGAGGTACATGCCTTGATTTAAACTTCACAAATACACGTTTTTATCTTTTTGCGACTGTGTGTTTTTAAAGAAAGAGATGAGTTTTAACACATAAAGCACATACTGTCATTTAAAAACGTTATGTCTGTAATTCTCCATTTCTAGTTGGATGTGGTTCTGGAGACTAACTTGGCCACTATCCGGGTGTTAGAGAGTGTCCAGAAGAAGCTGTCCCGCCTTTCACCAGAGGACCAGGAACGATTCAGATTAGACGACTGCCTGGGCGGCACCTCTGAGGTCATCCAGCGTCGCGCTGTGTATCGTATCTATGGCGATAAAGCCCCCGAGATCATTGAGGGACTGAAGAGGAGTCCTGCCACTGCTGTGCCTGTGGTGCTCAAGAGGTTAAGGCAGTCTTTTTCTCTTTGGTTTCGACTTTGTCAAATTTCCTCCTGGTTTAACATTTAATGGGAAAAAAAACGTTAAGGCCAAACTCCTTATGTCTATTGTAGACCTGACACTGTCTCCTATTTCACACCTTTTTTGCATTCAAATTATGTTGATTAGACACAGTGGTAAAATGTTCTTTCTATTCATCAACACTGAATGTAGAAATTCTGGGTGTAGGTTTGCAGTTAAAAACATTTACATTACCAGCAGGGGGATTTAACTAAGTGACATTACGATGTACCTGTAAATGTTTTTGAAAAAATAAGATGCTTCTATCAACCAGCAGTGGTCTTTAGAGGTCCTGCCTCAAAAGATTAACCATATAGCAAAAGTTTATAAAAAGTGGGCTGTGTATTCAAACCAGGCACCTGGAAGTGCACTTGCATACATTAACATGACATATTCATGAACATGACTATCTACAATAAAGTGGTCGTTCTCTACAGGTTGAAAGCCAAGGAAGAGGAATGGAGAGAGGCCCAACAGGGTTTCAATAAGATATGGAGGGAGCAGTACGAGAAGGCCTACCTGAAGTCCCTCGACCACCAAGGAGTCAACTTCAAACAGAATGACATGAAGGCCCTGCGGTCAAAGAGTCTTCTCAATGAGATTGAGAGCGTCTATGATGAGGTAAAATCTCTCTTTGTTTCTGCTGGTTTAGCACTGGGGCCTCCATAATATGAAAAGATAATGAGGTTTGCAGTGTCATGACCTTCCTGTATAATTAATATGCCTGCTTGTATCATACTAGAGGTTTGACACAATAAGAAATGTAATCTTTCTCTATATATTAAGTATTTTAAGTGTCAGTAACTTAAACCCCCCTGAAGTACGATACCTTCACATTTTGAGAGAATGCATTCAAACACAGCTGACTAAACAAAAGCCAAATTTGAAAGAATTGACCTCATTCTGGTGTTCAGTGATGTGTGATGAATGGGAAAAGCTGACACCCAGTATTCATCTGAGCAAATGAATGTGATCTCTTCTTTTCTGGTTTCCTTTTTATTGTTTAAACCTTGACATTGGAATTGACATAACAATCCCAACCCTGGATTTAATCACAAGAATTGATCAGACCCATACAAATTATCATCTATTTCATATCAACCAATTATACTCAATCTTCTGATGAGTTTTTGTGTGATATAATTTAAAGCTACAGAGCGAGCATTTATTTTCACATTTCCTTTTAAAAACATTTTTGTTAATCTTCATTTTCTATTTACAGCTCTGACTGTCGCAGTGTGTCCTCCCAAATTCATCTTTGTGGTTTCTTTTTTTCTGTGTATCAGCGTCAGGAGCAGAGCACAGAAGAAGGTGGCATCGGCCAGCAGGGACGTAACGGCTCTGGTTCTGCCTCATCAAGTGAGCCTCACATGGTGTTCACGTATGAGGACAAACAGATCCTGGAGGACGCCGCCTCACTTATCATCTACCACGTCAAACGGCAGCCCACCATCCACAAAGACGACAAGGATCACATAAAGCGCATCATCCAGCACTTTGTCCCCGACCTGTTCTTCTCTCGCCGCGGTGAGCTCAGTGATACTGAAGATTGGACAGATGAGGAGGCTGAGCCTGAGGATGGAGGCGAGGGAGGTGAGGGTGGAGAGGGAGGCGAGGGAGGAGAGAGAGGGGAGAGAGGGGAGAGAGGGGAGAGAGCGGAGAGAGGGGAGAGAGGGGAGAGAGGAGAGAGAGGAGAGAGAGGAGAGAGAGGAGAGAGAGGAGAGAGAGGAGAGAGAGGGGAGAGAGGGGAGAGAGGAGAGAGAGGAGAAAGAGGAGGTGCAGGTAGATCAGCAGCAGTCCCAGCAGTCGCAGCAGCAGTAGTAGGAGGAGGAGGAGGAGGAAATGGTAATCCTAACAATGCATCAGGAGCTGCAGCAGCCACAGGTAGTCAGTCTCAACCCCTACCTGCCCAGCCTCAGACACAACCCCAGCAGCAGCTCAATGGCGAGTCCAGGCGAAGGCGCTGCAGCCCGTCCCAAACTGCGGAACCAGAGGCCTCCACCACCTCCATCAGCATGAGTCAGGCTGCAGGGACCGCCACATCCACCCCTGTATCTACTCCTATGGAGATGGGTTCTGGTGTAGCCGGGGAGAAGGTGGACCTTCGCGACCCTGAAGCAGAGCACCAGAAGGAGCTGGACGGTGTCTACAACCTTTTTTTCGTCAACAACAACTGGTATTTCTTCTTGCGGCTGCACCAGACTCTGTGTTCGCGGCTGCTGCGAGTTTACCGACAGGCTGAGCGGCAGCTGCTGGAGCACCGAGCTGAGCAGAGCAGAGAGAGGCTGCTGATGGCGGAGGGACGGAGGGAAAAAGCATGTGACCTCGCCATGGAGCTCCGCCTCAAACCGCCCAGTAAGTTCAGACACTGGTTTTTTGAAATGTTATAACTGTTAAACTTAAGTTGGATCAAAATTGGACTCAATGGGATAAATAACCTCAGAGTAGTGGTTTGTTATTTTAGATAGCTGCTTTAATTGGTTTTAATTAATAAGTAGTGACTAAGAAAGCTCAATCAAATCAAGCCTTTCCTGGTGTCAGTTCACATAACTAATACCAGGATTCATGATGTTCAAAGTCATAATACATGATCCCATATTATGAGGGCGACAGCTTGTTTGAAAATATTACAGATCTGTAGAGAAGCAGCTGCGAATCTATTCTTGAAACAGCTCAATGTTTGTTTTTTATGGTGTCTAGGTCGTTCAAGACATAGAACATTGATTTATATACTGTGTAAAGCCTGATCCATTTCGGAAGATTTCAGGTACAATTTAGGTTTCGTCCAACCAAAAACATTTAATAACAATAATACAAGACAAAGAAAACCAAATTCTTACATTTGAGAACCTGGAACCACGAAATGCTGATTTTTGTTTTTAGCTTGAAGCATTACTTGCAAAAGATTACTTGGAAAGATTATTCAATCATTAGAAGAGTTGCAGATTGATTTTCTTTGGATTGAGTAATTGGTGAATTTTTGCAGTTCTCCTGCAGACATCAGGCAACAGTCTGAATTAGTTAACTTCCCATCAAAACCGCTTGAAATGCCTTTTAGTACTAATGCTACAAAAAAGCATAGTTTGTCCAAAACATGTCGGAGCGCTGCTGCGACAACAGATCAACTCTTTAAAACTGCTCATGTCATCACTACATTACACACATTGTGATCACATGCATTTAACTGATGTGACATCTCCTTCCTTCTGCAGGTGAAGTGGAGTTGGAGGAGTATTACCCAGCCTTCCTGGACATGGTGCGCAGTCTGCTGGATGGAAACCTGGACTCCACACAGTACGAAGACACGCTGAGAGAGATGTTCACTATCCACGCCTACATCGGCTTCACCATCGACAAGGTCATCCACAACATTATTCGACAGGTAAGAAAAATTGTTTTTTTTTTTTCAAGGTTGTCTCCTTCCACATTTCTCTGCTGCTGCTTTCTCTAACTCTCCACCGTGTCATTCTTCAGCTGCAGCACCTGGTGAGCGACGAGGTTTGTCTGCAGGTGGTGGATCTTTACTTGGCTGAGAGGAAGCGGGGGGCAGCAGGGGGGAACCTCTCCTCTCAGTGTGTCAGAGCTGCTTGGGAGACAAGCTACCAGTGGAAAGCTGAGAGAGTCATGGCTGAGGAGAACTGCTTCAAGGTGAGCATAAATGAATGAAGTGCTGGACCATATATTCGGCTCTGGCATTTTGAAACATTACTATATATATTTACCAGTGGAGATATAGAGTGGGCACACATCCAGTCATTACAGAGGATAGCTTGCTCATATTTCTCACAATGCTAAATGAACGACAAAAGCAAAGCACATCACTAATGGCTGTTTTTGTGATGGAGTGTTTCAGGAATAATGATCATGATTGTAAAAATAGAGCTGCTTTACTAAAGGTGAATCATTTTCAATAGTTTCAGTTCAGATCTCGTCCTCTTCATTTTTCTCAAGCTGTTCAGTGTTTTTCAGCATATGGTTGCCGCAGTAGTTGGTGTTACCGCTGTTAGACAGTGTTCAGGAATATACAGGTTATATAACTTTCCCAACGACCGAGTCGCTAATTACATAAATAAATATTTAGTCTGACGCTGTAGTTGTAATGTGAAAGTGAAAGAGTCACATCACAGAGTAACAGAGTCTCATCACATTTCTACATTTTAACAACTAAAAATGAACCCTGGTTTTATTCTCTGCTGGGGAGTTTATTTCAATTGATTTACTGACGTTCCTGTGTCTCATCATCAGGTGATGTTTATCCAAAACAAGGGTCATGTGACGATGACCATTGAGCTGCTGGACACTGAGGAGGCCCAGGCTGACGACCCGTTAGATGTGCAGGTAAACACTCGTTTACAAGCCGTGCAAACTCTTGTTTTTCTGACAGGCAGCATGAAATGAATAATCTAATTTAAGTTGAACTAAACTTTTTAAACTTGGTGGAACTTGCTCTCTTCCTCTCTCAGTGCCTGTCGAGCTACATGGAGCAGTTTGTAGGAACAGAGTCTAGTCTGTGCTCTCAGGCAGAGGGCTACTTCTTCAAGCCTGTATTTTTGCCCAGGTATGACACTTCATTTCTATAGACGTTTAGACCACATCAAACCAATCCTCTGTTTTATTTGTACTGTCTCACAGTTGCCTATCATTACATTGTGTCTGAATAAATTAGCTGAACTTCTGACCAAACTATTCATACACTTGCCACAGATCTTATTGGGCTTCTTCTGTTTCCTTATTGTTTTTTCTCACTTGAAACACTTATATAATATAATATTCATACAGTCTTCAAAGCACTGTCACTTTTTGCTCACTTTGCAATCTCAGTGTAGAAACACACTACTTCCTCACACTGCTTCTCAGATGCTTTGGTGTTGTTTGCTAAAGTCTTACATTTTTGTTGCTTTACTTACAGGTAAAAAAAAAAAAAAGCATGCCATAGGTCAGGTTTATAGTGAGCGCCCTCTGCTGGATCCTTAGGCATACTACCTCAGTCTGTCTGATGTACTTCTACACTGGTTTGAATTGTAACTGGTCATCACAGTTTCAATTTAATCTTTCCCACTACGTTAGAATGAATGAAATGATGAAATAGCCATAAACCGTAATACTTAGTAATGAACCTTTGCAAGAGGTCTTTTGCAGGATATTATTTTCCTGTGCACCTGTGTCAGACAGAACATCATTTCATGAAAGCACCTCAAATCATCAGTGTAATCAACTTAAGTTTTTCTACAAAAACCAATATGTTCAAATATAAAAGAAATTGTGAAATAAAGTGCAGGGATTTTATCAGGATTGCGAGTTAAATTATTTAGATATTCTAATATTATTTATGATATTCTAACAACTGCTTTAAAAAAGCCATCTGCTTTAGCACCACTTTCATGATATTCTAGTTCAAACAAAAGTTTCGAGATGAGATAAATGTCTCTAATGTTTCTGTTCTCGTAGGAACCTGCGGCGTTTCCGTCGCTGGCAGGTGCGGCAGGTGGAGGCGATGCGCTGCAGGAGAGAGTGGCACCGCCAGCTGGGCGTGGAAAACGCCGGGAGTTTGGACTGTCGCTTTAAACTCAACACTCACAAGATGGTGTTTGTCATGAACTCTGAGGATTACATGTACCGCAGAGGAGCGCTGGTCAAGGCCAGGAAGGTAGCGTGGCGTCAGTGTTTTCATTTCATACATTTCAGTTTGTAATGTGAATCTGAGTGAAGTCTGGCTTGTGCATTTCCTCCTTGTTTGGGGTCTCATAGAAGATGCTTTTTATTTCCTCTGTCTATACAGTCGCAGCACAGAGTGGCAGCGACCCAGCACGACCGCTTCGACAAGTGGCACCAGGGCTGGCTGGCCAATCACGTGACTGCCTCGGCTGAACGCTCAGTGCAGAACTGGCTGATGGGTGAGGAGGAGGAGGACATGATCCCCTGCAAGACCACCTGCCTGTCGACCGAGGTGAAAGGGCAAACGGTCAACAGATACCAAGTTCATTACAGCAGTAGCAAAGCCCCGGCCTCACCTTAGAGGCCTGCTTAGAGTTGGACGTGCAGTACACTCACACACATACACACATACATACACACATACAGGTAAATGCATGGACTTACAGGACATTTATACACTAAACACAGACATGAACAGCTGCATTCACACTTCTCCACAACATGTTCACTCACTCACTTCCACTCATGGATGAAGAAACTATCAGAAAAACAGAGTGAATGAGTGAGAGGAGAGGTAACGTGGAGAAATGGACCAACACACAGACGCAGTGCAGTAATAATCAGTGGGAGTAAACTCGGCCCCGATGGACGGGCCGAGACGGACACGACAGCACAAACGGAGATCGTCTTTCCTCATCCTTCTGACTTCTCTGGTGGCACACAGCAGCAGCAGTTGATAGGACTGATGGACAGGGACGGTTGATCAGGTGAGAAGTTCTGAGTTCTGAGATCATGACATTTGTTTCAGAAATGTGAATGTCTGTTTTTGTTTTTTTTCCCTTTTTTTAAGTCAAGTGTAGTTTTTAGCTTCTAAAGCCAGAGAGCCTTCTGCTTGTTGGTTGATTTATGCGTGTTTATATGGAGAGATAACGGTAAACGTGTGTATGTATGTGTATCCTGCTCTTCATTTTGTCTGTTTGTATGCCCAGTACAGGCTCTACAACTCCAGTAATTGCATTATTACTGTATGTGCATATATATACAACAGGGATCCTGTATTTTTATATATGCATCTACGCGAGTCGATCGATACATCTGAAGATCATGTGGTTCTTTACAGTGTTTGCTGTCGGCCAACTCTTGATGTTTGCAGTCTGTTTCTTTTTGGTATCTTTTATTTTTCCCTTTTTTGTGTTGTAGAGATACAAGTTATCACCAGGGTAACAAGGAGTCCTTAAAAATAATTGGTTTAATATTGATGAAGCAGTCAAATTATGTATCATATTCATGATTTCACCAAATGTTTACTTTGCATCGTCTTTTTTTTTTTGCATACTGACATTGAAAATAAAAGCAAAATATCAGTGTTAAAATAGAATGTATAACATTTATCCTGTATCAGTTATCATAAAATAAACAACCTAGTTGTGACCTTCTTAGATGTCGACTGGCAGGTTGTTTGCTCATGAAGACTCAGAGTGACGCAGCTCCCTGATTTGACTCATTGATTTTACAGTGCGTTAATAACATATGGAGTCCATCTGATGGCTGCATGTTAAACGAGAGTTTTTAAAATGATCAAAATTAAATCAAAATATTTCTAACATAATCTCTAAACATTAAATAAGGGTGGAGACTATTGGTCAATGGACACAAAATGTATCAATAACTGTTTTTCCTAGAAAAACGTGCAGATATATTGCTGGCTCCAGCTCCTTCAAGTCAGGATTGTTGCTATTCTTTGTTGTGTTTTAATGTAACCTCAGATTTTTCACAATTTCCAAACAATCTTGAAAATATTGACTTGTTGCTGTTTGCAGGACATAAACTTCATAAAAGTAGTAGTAAAAGTTATAAGGGTGTTGTGCCTGGTTTAATTGCAGTTCCAGTTTTTCTTAAATTAACTCACTCATTAAGTCCATCCGTAGCTTCTGATCTATCAGTAGCGCCTGATCTTCAGCACATGGAGTCTTCCCACATGTCAAGTACTTTTTGTCCACATTGGTAAAAAAAAAAAGATTTAAAGTTATGTAAACAAATACAGTCTACTGAAGAAGCTCATGTGCAACAACTGAAAGCCCTAGAACTGCCACTTATTTGCCCCTCTGCTGATTGTTATTTAACTGCTGTTTCCATACTCCAAGGTGCTTTTCTTCTGAAGTGGAAGAGACTGTTGGGATTTTGCGTTGGAAGATGAGGGTTTGTGGATGGTGATAAGTTCCAGTTTGCTGTGCTCTGCTTTGATTTTGTTGGTGTCTCCTCTTTGCCAAGAAATGAGATTTTCAGGCTTCTCAGGATGATTCATTTAACCTGGTTGGCACAGTGAAGATAACAGCGTCAGACTCAGTCTACCCACCAGAAATGAGGGAGAAAAAAACATTGAATCTCTAAACACTGTCTCTGCTTTTGGACGAGGTCCTAAACCTCAAGGCCTAAATCACACCACCACCTGCAATACTGCTTTTCCTCACCAGGCTGTTTGTCTATGAGTCTGCCTGTTAGTCATACATGCACATTATGTCTGAGTGTGAACATGGTTCCTTCCTCTTAACAAAACAATTCAAGGAATTCTACCTCCACTACGGAGGCGATGTTTTCCTCAGCGTTTGTTTGTTAGATAGCAGGATTACGCAAAAAATCCTGAAATGATTTCTGTGAAACTCGGTGGAAGGATGTGATATGGTTCAGGAAAGAACCCATCACACTTTGGTATGTTTGTCAACATGTCCATTGATTTCTCTGAGAATAATTCATGGATCACGTTGAAAGAATCGGGCAGACTGATATTTTATAGTGTATGCAATTTAGAGCAAATCCAAATAGAAAACCTGGATCTTGTGCTTATATAAAGGGGCTGCTCATGTAACAGATATATACATTTGTGCTAATCAGTGTGCGTCTTTATCCACAGAGGTGCATCAAAAAGGGAAGATGCAGCAAAGCATCTCGTGTGACATAGCAGATATAACCAGGCTTCCTGGAGAGTGAATTAAACCACAGGTCAGAGGAGGCCGCAGCAGATTAAAAAGTAAAAAACAACACTAAAAGAGAAGAAAAGAGTCGAGAGGCAGAGCGAGTTTTAAAAATAATTGTGGTTTATAAAACCCAGATATGACAGGATCACCAAAGTGTTTACAGAAATACAAATACCATCAGGAAAACCATCATTGAACAGTGTTTCACACTCGACATGTACAAACTACCATGTAAAAGGGACTCGGGGAGGATGGTTCAGACTGAAAGACGTTTTCCTTTCTTTAGGTCTCTTGAAATCACATTTAGCCACAATGTTTTTTCTTCTATCTTCTTTTTTTTTTTCTTCTATTTTTTTAAAGTGGAACATCCATCTACCAAACTACAGGTACTATCACGTTCAGCTAGATTAGAGCCAGGGCACAAACATCGAGAGGGGAGGCAGAGGAGAGGGAGGGAGGTTGCACACATATCGAGCACTTTAACATCATGGGAGTTTCAGCAAGCAGTAGAAACTAAACTGAGCCGCTATGGAAGAATGGGATGTCAGGGTTTATCAAGATCATCTCATGGAAAAAAACTGTACAAAATAAGCCTGTTTTTTTTTTTATATATTCGTCTGTCGGATCCACAAACTGTAAAAATGTTTGAGGAGCATCTTGAACTGCTTCCAGCGAGCAAATAAAGTTCCTGTTCTGTTTATGAGAACGGGATGAGAAGCTTGAGCAGATCTGGGATCAGTTTAACGGTATCTTGTAATGAGTGTGGTGTGGGTCCTCGCTCCTGCTCCCTAACTCAAAGTGCTTCTGTCTGCAGGGAGGCTCACAACAACAGACGCAACGTCCACATAGTTATAGTTTCATGCACATTCACAGATGTACAAACAGGATTACAGCTGCAGGACACGGGGATATAACCCCCAACCCCTGACGACGATGACGCCTCGAAATAAGAAGGAATCACCGATAAATACAACCAATCACGTTCTCCATTTCTATGGATCTTCTTTTTTTCCCTCTTAGTTTAATACAAACACTTTCGACAGATTTACACATGAAAGAGTGCAGGGTCGACAAAACGCTCCTCGTCACCTAGAAAATACTGCTTGTCTCAGAGCAAACATGGCAACATACGAAACCGATCATTGTCAGAGGGGCTGCAATGATCGATACTATACACATCATGTCGAATAAATTAAGATCTATGTACAATGTAAAACAAAAAGCAGCATGCAAGCAAGACAACAGAGCCTTTTTACAAAAACTACCTGCTGTAGTGTTGTGCTCTCCGACACGAGAGAGAGGGCCGGTGTGTGTGTGTGTGTGTGTGTCACGTACGTCATGTACAGTTATGTGTCCAGTGTGTTTGAATAGACAGGGAAGCTACCCATCTACGTTTTAACAGGTACAGCAATTCACTTTCCAGGTTTCCAGTTCACATTAAGCTCATCACGCACAAAACTGAGTCTTTAAGCTGCTGCGGGAACAAACAAAAACAGAAGTGGGAGAAACGGGAACGTTTCTGCTTCACATTTGTAGCTTTCTGTGATTTGTTTCATGAGCAATGGTGACTCAGTGCAGCCACAGGGAGGAACAGCAGAGCAGAGAGTGCAGCGAGGAGAGAGAGTGAGACACATGAACCAGCACTGAAGCTACAGAGACGTGTCTCTAAAAGTCAGGGGGCCTTTGAACATCAGCACGTTTTTAAAAAGATGAAGCAACAGCTCTGCAAACGAAGGCTGCCGGCTCAGGGATGAGATGAGGGTCGAACAGTGGCACGTTTTCCTGGTTGTCTGTGTCAAATTCAAACTTGAAATTATTGTTTAAAGAGTGCTAAAATTAACGACCAACATTAGAGTTGAACAAATCCGGTGACGCAGAATGTGGTGAAAAATCACACCTAGGTCCCTGATTCAGGAGCTCAAACCCACACAAGAGCTGTGAGACGTGTCAGGGTTTCCACATATTTACTGGATATACTGTAAGGGCCCTCGATGAGCTTATGCAGTGTTGCCAGTTCTGACTTCCACCAAGGAGCCTTATCATCAAAAAATGTACTTTAATTGTCATTTCAGATGTTTGATGATTTCTTACTCGTAGAATAAAAATAGGCAAACACATTGAAATATAAAGCCAAACTATCAATTTTGGGAAATCCACTGAAACTGTACAAAAGTGGGTAGAAACTGTTCAATCTGGCAACACTGAGCGTTTTCTTCCTATAGGGCCTATGATCGCTATTCTACACAAACATTGACAGTAATACTAGTAATCACCTCCAGCAAGGTCACGTTTTCATCTGCGTTTGTTAGTTTGCATGAAATTTTGAGTCTTTTTACATTTTAGTTGATTTCTCGGAGGATAATTCATGGATCTTGATGAAAGAAATCAGTCATGCTGATATTTTTGTGTGTGATAACCGTGGTTTTATTGGGGGACTGTTGGACCTTGGCGGAGGTATGCTTCCTACCGAGTGCAATTCTATTTCTACTCATATTACTGGGAGCACCTACAAAACAGAGACTACCTGCTAATACAGCCCAATAACACATGCACTTTAAGAGAATAAGAGAAAAACACTCCAATCTTTTAAATAAGCTTTCGGGCCACTCAGACAGGTTGGATATAAAAAGCCGCAGACACATTCATTAAAAACAAAGCTTTGGTAATTAATGCAGAGAATCTCAATGCACATACAACAGACGGTAGCTAACAGGGCACTTTGAGGTGACCTGAAACCATAACTGTGACGACTCACGAGTCATTTTTGCTCTAATTGGAGGTTGGGCATAAAATCGAGGACGGAAAACGAGCTTATTAAAATTTTGGCACAAGTATAACCAAGAAAAAACATTTCCAAATGTTATAAAATACATTAACAATCATCGTGTGGATCATTAAACTAGTCTCACTAGTATAAACAACACATGTAGAAGTACTGAACAATTGTAATAGAGTAATAACATACATCAAATATATTAAATATATTACAAAGCAACATCACAGACTAGAAATGTTTGAGTCAAAACATCCCTTTTGTGTACAAGTAGTTTTTTTTTTTCATGCTCTGTGTATTAAAACGCACTTTTCCTGCAAGTGCCTCTGCAAGGACTGTGATTGTACACTGACGTTATTACAGCTCGGCAAAGAAAAAGAAGAAAGAAGATGGATATAAAAAGAATCAACAAGTGGAAACCAGTTGATTTGTTTTTTGATATGCTGCGATGTGTGAAGAGTCCTTCCTCGGGTTTCTACTGATTCATGTTAAGTCTTTCAGTCGGCTTTGTCTTCTCCCTGTTGATCCTAGTGGAGTTAGAAAGACGTGTAAACAGTCGTGTGTAGCCTCATGTGTACAGATTCTCCTTTTTAAATCCAGGAAAGAAAACAATCGAGGATAATCTAAAGAAACAACAACAACAGACTAAAAAGTCCATTAAAAAAGAAGAGAATAATCTCAGGGCAGTGTGGTCTGTGTTACTAGTTACGTGCATGATGTCTGTCCACCTGTCTGTCTGTCTGTCTGTCTGTCTGTCTACTCTCGACTGTAGCAATACTACTCTGTGTTTGTGCTTCAGCAGGTTTATATATATATGTGTGTGTGTGTGTGTGTGTGTGTGTGTGTGTTTCTACATTACAGTGTGTTCCTATACTTATAAAGACCAAATGTACTCACAAACAAGTAGAGATGAGGTAAATTCAGACTGAGAGTCCTGATTTAAAGGTTTGAGCTGGGGGGGACGGGGTCACTACACATAGAGAGAACTATAAGGGAGGAGGGCTGAGGTTGGATGTTAGTGAATGAGGTCCGTATAAGTATACTATGTCTGAGTGTGTGTGTGTGTGTGGTTGTGTGTGTGATGACGTTGTGGACTCAGCTGAAGGCCTCATCATCCGTGTCTTCGATTAGCACCTTCGTGTCCTTTTTTGATCTAGAAAAAAAGAAGGATTCAAACATTTTAATATGATCTGCAACATTTTGTTAATTTCAAATTATTATTTTAACAATTTTCAAAATTTGAGATCCTGAATAATAGATGTGATTGATTTCATATTTTGTAAAGTCAAACATTCGGTCCCTTTCTTGATAAAAGGACAATGAATAATCCAGGAGTTCATTCTGATGTTTTGCATTTATATAAAGATAATAATACTCTCAAGAAACACATAAAGTACCACAAAAAATAAAGTACATGATAGTATAGATGTGGCACTTTTCTTTAAACTGAGACACAGAAGAGAAATATAAACCTCTTCCAGGTCCCTGTTCTATTCATAAGATCACATTTATTTTGTCTTCAGTTATTTATAAATGGACCATCTTTATTTAGTTTAGCAAGCGAAAATAGAAATGTTTGAGTTGAATCAATTGTCAGTGTTTTTCCTTACTGTGAGGAGGACAGTAGGGGGCGTCGGAGTGACAGGCTGTAGGACCTCTTCCAGGTCTTCTTGCCCGAGCGGTTCCGGACGCCGTCCTCGCTGTCCATCATCTGCTCCAGCAGCGTCTGGTCGTCAGCGTTGAGCGGCGCCACTGAGATGTCCCTCACCGCACGGAACTCACCACAGTTATTCAGGTGCTCGTTCTCCAGACGGAAGAAGTTCCACACAAAACGCCTGCAGAGGGGCAACAAGGGGGTTGGGGGGGTTGTTTTAGAAGAGAGAGGCTGACCTGAAGCTACAGCAGCAAACCTCTAGAGAAACATGTCCATCATCTGAAAACATCTTGACGGACAGGAATCTTTGAGCATTTCAAGTTGGTGAAATGAAGTGAGGTTGTACAGCTCTCGTCCTGTAGAGCACCTCATGAGGGTCAGTGTGTTTGGGATAAAGAGTAAGTCTGACACTCACCTGAAGACCTCGAGAGGAGCGAGCACGGTGGCTATGATGTCGCCCACAGAGTGGATCTTTGTCGTTGTGGTCAGAGAGATCTGGATCGTCCAGGCAAAACGTAGGATCACGTCCTCGATAATGGCACAGTAGTAGTAGGCCTGAGGGGGGAGAGGGGACTTAGTTTAGATGACCCTGTGTGTGTGTGTGTGTGGGTGTGTGTGTGTGTGTGTGTGTGTGTGTGTGTGTGTGTGTGGGTGTGTGTGTGTGTGTGTGTGTGTGTGTGTGTGTGTGTGTGGGTGTGTGTGTGGGTGTCTCAGACTCTCTCGCCTTATGGGGGTAAACGATTTCTTCTCTGAGGAAGGTGTTTTCTCCGGCTCCACGGTCGAACAGACCCCAGTCCATCCTCAGATCCCAGATCAGTGTGTAGAGGGAGCTGATGGTGGAGAAGACGATGAGCAGATAGAAGAACATGTCGGCATCCGTGTGTCCTTGTTCTGAAAATACACACAAACACAACTGAGGTCAGGTGACATGCATTCATTCATCTGTTTTCTTTGATTCAGATCCAAATATGTTTTCATGCAGTTTTCACATCTGGAATAAAACTAAATATCTGCATCTGTGTTTTTAAAATGAAGCTTTAGAGAACGGAGCCTCGCTGAAGTAAAGTCAATGCAACTTTTCCACTGTCACCACTAGAGGGAGCTCACCTGTCAAGAATACACTAGCTGTGACTTATTGAATTAGCAGTGGGCAAATGTTACATTAAGAATTTAATCCCACTAATATCATAACAGTTTCCATCAAACACACGTTCACTATATAACATTACACATATGTTGTAGCTTATTCACTTAGTGAGCTGCACCTGGAAGCTGATCTTTAGAGACTCATCTGCAGCAACACAACCTGTAACAGTGGTTTCACTTCCCTGCATTTTAAAGGGAATCTATTCAAAGACTACTACCTGTAGTGTTCCTGTTTCTCTGTGTGTGGTTTTAATGTAGTTTTATCTGATGCTATAAAAATAAAAACATTTGGTCGAGTGTGTCCCTTCCTCTGGCAGACTGTGGCTCTCAGTGGTGTCATTGACACAAGATGGCAGCTTTCGCATCTGGGATATTATAGCTTCACAGTGGTAATCGTCTTTGATCCAACCTCATGTGTGTTTCTTTGGAGATAATGCAAATATAACCTGTGTACATTGTGCTGTGTGTATATCTGTGTTTTTTTATTGATTGATTAATTGTATCGTCTCTGTCAGAAATGATCAACAGCCTAAAACCTGAAGAGATAAAAATCCTCACACAGAACATGATATGATAACCAGTAAATTGACCAATCTGTGCAGAATGAATTTTTTCATTCAGCATTTGAACCAGTTCTGTTCTGTGAAAGCACATGAAAATAATATGACTCAGGAAATGTTAATGATTCAAAGGTCAGAACCATAAGTATATGTTTTGTTCTTGTAAACTCTTTTTTACTGGATCATTACTTCTCTAATTTCTTCCTCCAATGAACAATTGCAGTTTCCAGTGTCTTTGAAGAGCAACTAACGGGAAGATTCATTCCAGGCTGTCTGGTTTCCCGACAGGGTGACTTCTGCTTTCAGCTTCATTAGACTCTTCAATATAACATCCTGTTTGCCTCCTCACCTCATCATTTACATTTGTTTAATGCACTGCATAATGTCAGCGTGTGTAAGAAGCTGTGGTCAGCAGCGTCTGTGTGTTCACGCAGGATCACTGATGGATTTACTTGTTCCATCAGCTCTATAAATCAGCAGCCAGTGGCCCCACACAGCGTCTGAGACAGATACAGACAAGCAGCCACAAGACAGAGACCCGGCTCGCTGACTGTTTGTCATAGTCACAGCTTTTCCCTGCTCCCAGCCAACGAGACGCTGGGGGAGCAGAGCGTGGGACGTTTCTATCAGAGAATTACTGCTGCTGCTCTGTTCACTGCTGCATCCATTGTGCCGTTTGCGTCTTCTCCGGCTGAGCTATGGGATGGAAGGAGTCCCCACGGCCACACTAAGATTCCCCAGCTGTAGATTAAACTCACTCCTGGACAATAGAGTCTTCTCACTGGAAAACATCCACTGATGTGATTCTCTGCTCGTAAAGAGTTGAAGTATTTAACCCTTCAGTTGCTGAGAAGGTTGATGTTTCTTTCCCACCAGGCTGGTTAACCACTGAGGCGTATAGAGGTTAAACATGGGGAGATGGAAATTGATTGGATGCTCAGTAGAGAGAACACTGGTCACTGGCTGCTGTCACACACACTTGATCGCTGTTGGCTGTCTCACACAGACACACAGACAGTTGTTGTCCTCAGGAACCCAAGAGGTTAAACACTATTAAAGACAGAGCACTTCAGCAGTCTGCTTTAATGCAACAGGCCCAGTTCCCATTGATGGAAACAAGTTTACAACGACAACGATCAGTTCCTGCTTTTAGAGTCATTTCTCGTCTGGTGGCAACTAAATCAGTCAACAAGAAGAATTCTGCACAAGGAGAACACCCAGCTGTAGACAGTAGTGGAAAGTACTATTAATCGGGTACAGCATTTCTGTACAGTATTAAGGTAATTGTACATGTTCTGCCGCTATATACTCATAACATTTCATCTGCCTGTGCTTGTTTGTTAGTTAGCAGGATTAACTGCTTGAAACTTTGTGGAGGTGTGGGAACTGGCCCAAGAAAATAACCCATTACATTTTCGGAGCAGATCTGAAATCAGGACCTTTTTTTTTTTCACTTTTGTTTCCTTTAGGAACACCCACAACTGCAGACACGAAGCAAGACACCAAGTTAGAGATATACATATTATGTTATTATGAGAAGTGTCAGCATTTTCTTTGGTTCATTATGAAACCGTGGCAGGACAAATTAGATTATAGGGGCGCAACAGTCCAGATAATTAATGGGAATTGAGTTTAGCATTTACTCAATCACATTTATCTACAATGTGCAGTTACTGGTTAATTTTTACTTAAAGATTTTATATAATAAAAACACAACATGCTGTTAAAATACGTGATATACAATTTAGGCTCATATTACTATATCTACTCATTAAATCAGTTGTACACACATTAATGTCCAGCCACTATCTGTCAGCATTCTTTTGTGGTGTTTTATAAACTGGCATTGCTAACAATGGCTAACCTGGCAACAGCAGACTCCAGCCCCACCACCTCAAAATAAACAACACTTCAGACATGTATTGTCAAATCAGGAGTGACGTCATCCTCAGCTCAGACCTCTGAGGTGAATGAAACGCAGCAGATCTGCTGCAGCAGGAGTCTGTTTGGGCTGAGCAGAGGTGAAGTGGAGTTCAAGCAGGCAGAAGAAGATTTGAGTCAGAGCGGCGTCTTTTATCTTCACTGGCAAATGTGTGGGCTCAGCTCAGGGTGTGTGTGTGTGTGTGTGTGTGTGTGTGTGTGTGTCGCAATTCCTCTCCTGATAATGACCGAGGGGTCAGCACATGAAATGAAGTTATAAAAGCTGTCAGCTCCAGGCTCATCTCTATTCCAGCAGAGTCCAGCAAACATGTGTTCAGACCCTGGGCCGGTAATTACTCTCTCCTCTCCTCTCCCCATCCCTTTCCTGCTAACCGCAACCCTAACCCTAATTGCAACCCTAACCCTAATCACAACCCTAACTCTAATTGCAACCCTAACCCATATTCACCATAGGGTGAATAACTCTGCTCTGCTTGCTCGAAACGTGCTGAAATTCGGTGTGGGTGCGTGGCTGTCTCCCCTTTATTATTCGTGAAATGCCCAAGTCTCTACGACTTTCAGAAAAAAGGTTATTTTCTCCCCCTCTGTGCTCCATCAGCTCTGAATTTGCTGATCACAACACATTCATTTCCTTCGCTCACCACCACAGTCGACCTCTCATTCCACAAGGACTTAGTTCCTCTTTGGTCTGATCTATTGTAGCTTGAGTTTTTAAAACTGATGTCACAGATCTCTGCACTGACTTGAGAGACATCTCTGCATTTTTCCTTTTAGACCCCTGATCTTGTCTCTGCATGTTCATACATTTCCCATTTCAAACAACTTCTTTCTATCTATCACATGCTCATGCTATTCTCGCCTGTGCAATATCCTGTTCTCCTGTCTTAGTCTGTCCGTGAGATAAATCCCACGGGCTTGAATCAGCATTAGGCCTCGAACTAAAACAGCAATAAGTCTCAAGCTAGCGTACATAAAGCTAAGCCAGTATTGATCCTGAATAAAGCATGCTTTACTGTTCTAAGGCCTCACACTGTATCTTACAGGGCTTGAGGTTTTCTGTTTGAGCCAGGAAATCCTCCTTCTCCTCTTCCTCTCTAGCTACAAGCCTCTGAGCGTGAGCTGAGATTTACAGTTTCATGACAAAGTTCGATCAGTTATTCACAGCACTGAACTCAACTTCCCTCTGAGGGGAGAAATCTGCTGCAGTGGCTGCAACAAGGCAAAAATGATTCAACCTCAAACCCCAGATTGGCAGAGAAAAAAGTGTGAACCCACACACACCAGAGAGGAGAGTGTAGCTCGTAATTTCACAGATTTAGATCTGTGAATGGAAGCACGGGACACTGAATACCATGCAGTGTTCTACGGGGAAGCTCGTGATTTATCTGGTTGCATTTATGGTTTGGAGTGTTCCGTGTTCCCGGAGCTAAAAGTGGGCATTTCCAGGAACGAGTGAGGCGGCCAGGCGATGAGGTCGCACAGCATCAGCCATCAGCGCTGTGATTGGGTTAGCAATGAAGGTGACACATCCACACACACTGGGAGCACCGCCAGATACTCACTGAATCTGCAGGCACCTTTTACAGCTGAACCCGGGGAGAACATGACACCGACCCGACCGTCTACTCTGGCAGATGCTGGGAATTGCAGGGACGACTAGGCATCATCTGTCATGTGCACACCCAGACTAAAGAGAGTATCGGTGGTGCAGCCAGTGGACCGAAGCATTACGTCTCTGGGTTGTCAGTCTGTCCCATTCTAATGAAAATTATATTTCACGACCAGCTTGAGGGGATTTTGTTAAATTTGGTCCAAATGTTCAGTTGGAGTAAAAAATGAACTGATTAAAATTGGGTGGTCAAAGATCAAGGTCACTTTGACTTTCCAAAGCCATTTTTTTGCCTGTGAACACGGTATCTCAAGAACACCTAGAGGCCATTTCGTCAAATTTTGTCCAAATGTTCACTGAAAAAGGGACTGATTTGATTTTGATCATCAAAGGTCAAAGGTCAAGGTCTTTTCTTCAAATATAATTTACCGAGAACCCCCATAAAGAATTTCATTACATCTGGACTCAAGAACAACCTGGTTGGAATTTTGAGTTCAAAGGTCGAGGTCACTGTGACCACAAAACCTTTTTACCTTGTGAATGTGTTATTTTTAGAATCCTTTTAAATTTGACAGAAATATTCACTCAGACTCAAAGATGGATTGATTTGATTTCAGTGGTCAAAGGTAAGATTCATGAGGACATTATATGAATATGGGAAAAAATTGTGGTACTTGTACTTTTGATAATTGTATTTTGTCCTCTCATGGTTTGGAGGCTGTTTAAGCATCATTTCCATTAATGGAGGATATTCTGACATCAGTAACTGTATTAAATCCTCAAATGCTTTCAAATTGACCAAAAAAAGAATTTCTGCTTCAAATACCTCCACAACAGGAAATTTCCTCGACTGTCCATTCATAATCCACGTGTCTGTGTGTCTAGTGTGTGTGTGTCTCCCCCCATCCTCCTCCTTCACTTAACCAGTGATCGGCCTCGGCCTCCATTATCATGCAGGATGAAAGACAGCTTCATACAGAATAACACATGAGAAGAGGCCATTAGTCTGTGGGTCTGCGAGCTTCAGACCAGAGGAGGTAGGAGGATACGATTTAATGGACGCCTTTCCTCCCGAGCTGTAGAAGGAATGACAAGTCCTTCCGTCTGTGTGTGTTTGTGTGTGTGTGTGTGTGTGTGTGTGTGTGTGTGTGTGTGTGTCTGTGTGTCTGTCTGTCTGTCTGTCTGTCTTCCTGGTTCATTCAATATCAGATCACCAGCGGTCAGCTTAGGAAGCAGGCGCATTGATTTGAATTCATATCGGAAAAGAATAAAGCCAAGCTGGGAAATAACATTTAGCGGTTTAAGAGGTTGGAGATGAAGTTTCCTCGCTGGCATTTGACTGGCAAATAAATATATAACTGGCATCTGACAAGAGTTTCAACATGAGTGGCTGAAAAATGAAACAGCTTTGAAACAAGTTGCGCGGACTGAAGGCTGAAAGATGAAGGGATGTTTTTATTGCCTGCCTGCTGCGTCTTTGAACATGAACTGCTTTGTGATAGAGCTTCTGAATCAGAATAATTGCAGGCTAATTGTGAGGCTGTCAGAGGCAGAGTGACTTGACTTTAAATTTTTCTTCCTCCATTTTTCTCATTTCCTTTCCTCCACTTTTCTAATTTTCTCTTCTTGCATTTTTTATTCTCTTTCTCTACTTTTCTTCTTCTGCCTCAGATTCAATGACACATTGTGTGAGCAGGACCTTGTCTTGTGTATCCACGCCAGTGTTTGACAAACCCTCCCCATTTCCATCACAAAGCTGTAGTTCCTAGCATTTGCTCTCAAGGTCACATCTGCTTTCTGAACACACATGACTTAATACAAACAGTGGTTTGACATTTCCACAGATTTCCCAGGGAATAATTAATGGATCTTGATTAATAAATCAGACATATTTAGGGGGGAGAAATTTGTTGCAGATCCAAATAAAAATCCAGATCTAGTCAATTTAAACGTGGTTTTGTGAGGGGACTGTTTGGCCTTGGTGCAGAAATGACAGTCTGTCTTTTAGTTTTCACCCTGTGTCCTACCTCTGTGTGTGGCGTATAGCGCAGCAAAGGTGACGACAAAGAAGGTGGTAGAATATTTCCCAGCATTCACCAGGTGAGGGAAGGCCCTCTTTGTGTCACGGTAACGCCTCAGACACTGGATGAAGCGGAACCAGGCGGGCAGACACTGGATGATGGCACGCAGACCGTACGAGTAGCTGTGGCACATATAGTCATTAGGATCTAGAATAAAAAAAGAAAAGATGATGTTATAATCTCATTCTCTTTTCGTTATTCACTGTACTCCCCTTCCCACAGGACATCTCATCATTATGAAAGTCACGCGGTGACCTGTGTGTGGCTGCACATTTCCCTTCCATTAGCTGCATGTTAATTGTCAGAGTGAGGGCCGAGGTGTCACTGTTGGTGCAGTCGACCGACAGCTATTAAAACCTTGTTCACATCATATCTCCCGACAGGAAACACTGTCAACTTTGTCACATTTACAACTGAAGGATTTATGTCTTCATCTCAACATCGTGATGAGACGCAGCGGCTGAAGAAAAACTACTATGATTGCAATCAAACATCAGAACCTATTTCGTGAACAGTGTAAATATCTATTGTCTGTACCATTTATCTGTATGTATGTTTGCGATTTAGGATGTTAGAGGGATGGTGTTACAATTTGTCATATTGTTTTATCACCAGAACATTTTAACATTTTCTACATTATCCATTTCTACAACCCAGAGAATGAGTGCATAATTATTAATTTAGTTATTAATAATGTCCAGATTTTACAATAATTTCCCAATTTGGGATAAATAAAGTACATCTATCTATCTATCTATCTATCTATCTATCTATCTATCTATCTATCTATCTATCTATCTATCTAGCTGGATACAGATGTGGTTTCTGCATGTGGATGCAGGTGGATACAGGTGACTATCAAGTTCCAGTAAAGAAAGAAGTACATACAAAACATAGATTCAAGATTATAAATACTGCATAGTACATATATCTGTAAGATCAAGTTGAGAGAGTTAAAAAGAATGCAGACATTATTGTATTGATAATACTAATGCTTGAAAATAAATCATACTTATACAGAAATGAAAGTGGGTTCAGAAATCCAACATAGATATTTAGATTCTAAACAACAGTGTTGCATTACAGATGTGCAGAAGACATGAAATTTACTATAAAGCGACAGGGAGCATGAATTTATCGTCCCACCTTTAACTGTGGGCAGCAGACCCTTGCTGTTGCTCCACTGCAGCTCGAAGATGTAGAAGCAGACGAGATACTCCAGGTCCATCAGGACAAACACCAGCGAGTTCAGCTGATCAGCCAACCAGAAGTCTGCAAACTCCACACGGTGAAATGGCGCCGTGAACACGCGGAACTGGAAACAGACAAGGAACGGATAGATATGATAAGCAAAGGCAGAGGTATACCACTGATTTAGTAAAAAGAAAAGATATATTTTCACTAAATTCAATATAAAGTGATAAAAATGAGGAAGGGGAATTAAAAAAGCTTCTGAAAACATGTCCTGGTTGTGTGCATGTTTTTTCAGCACCGTGATGTTCTAGTCAACAATTAATTAGAGTACGAGCAGGGAACAACCTCTACTAATGATGTGAAACACACAATGGGGATAAAGCCTCCACACTTCCTTATCAGCTCACCACAGGACACTAATGACTCACTCATTGTGTACGTCTGTGTGTTCTTGTTTAACAGTGTGTCCCTACTCACTGGTGTACAACACAAGCACATGGAGACACGGTCTGGCGGCGCTGGCCTCTGTGGGTGCGGTATTCGGGATATGACTTTTGGCAGGAGCTCAGTTATTGACCACGCTTTGTAAAATGATATAACCCAGCTCAGCCCTTTCCATTTACCCCTCAGGCTGCATGTGACATTCAGGGAAGACGGTGTGCAGCTCTCCATGTTTCAGCGGAAAACTCTACCTCCACTGCAAATGTCAAATATTGATCTCCCTTCCCCCCCCCCCCCATTTTCTTCACGTCATGCTCATCGCATATTTTTCTTAACCTGTCAATCAAAGGGTGTATTGATCGTGGGTCCATCTCCCCCAGACCTGCTCTGTGCGGATGTCTCAATGCTAAGCCTACTGCATTCGTGTGGTTAGGTTTTCATTTCTTGAGCAAACACTATGTAATCCAGGTGCTCGCTCTGCAGTTTGTCGTATAATGAAAAATTTTGTCTGGTGTCAGAAAGAATTAGCACACGGAGCATGGAAACATTTTAAAGCTCTGCTCGTGATGAAGGAGATTGTTTGTCAAATAATTTCTCCTTCTTAATCATTCATTGCTTATTCCTTGATGGTTAAGTGTCAGACAATCATGGGAAGCGGCTCGTTTCAGCTCTAATTCTGTTGATCGTGATTCTAGAGTCGCATAGTGTAGGAGGGGCTGAGGTGCTGATGAGGGAGCTGTGAAGGACAAAAATATGAGCAGGGGGTCTGCTGCTGCTGCTGCTGCTGCTGAGGGAGGGAGGGAGGAGGAGAAGTGGATTGTGAAGAGAGGAGGAGGAAGAGGAGGAGGAGGAGGAGGGACAGAGGAGCTCAGGGCATCAACATACTGATAGATCTATGCCTGTAATGATTGCACAGTCACAGCCTCCACCTCCCCTGAGACACTGCTGCATTCTATTATCCTCCGACCCTGCTGCCCTCTGTCTCACTACATCCCCCACCACACACACACACATACACACACACACACAGACACACACACACACGCACACACACACACATGCCCACACACGCATTATTATTTTACAGTAATTTTTTTATTTACTTAAAATGGTGGGACCAGAACAAGTAAAAATGAGGGACAAAAAAGAGGAGATAAACAATATTGACATACATACATAAAGCAGTTATTATATCACTATATTTGATAACATAATAAAAGTCTGGGAGTACATTAGTTTGACTGGGTATTTGTTTGTAGGTTGCATAAGTCATGTTTAGTTTACCCTTTCCTTAATCTAAACCAAACCTTAAAACATGTCTTCACCTTAAAATGTATTGATTCACATGATGGGGACTTTTTGTCCCCAGAAGAAGGACGTGTAAACAGATTTAGGTCCCCACAACATGGGTTATGACTAGAACACACACACACAAGCACAAACACACACACGCACGCACGCACACACACCAGCACACCATCCGCAGGCTGATAACGTTGCTTAGACAAAGAACAGAGTAGCATAGTATGGTTTTGTTCACAAGCGATTGATATCTGAATCATACATTCATCTTGAGACACACACACACACACAAAATTGTGTTGGCAGAAAAATACGTCAACAAAATCACTGCAATAAAAATAGTAGCTCTAAATATCTCATATTTAATTCACTTCCTGTAACATTTTGTGTTGGTTTAGAAACGTACTAAACGTAAAAATAAACCAGCACTAATAACAAACCTCACAAAATGTCTTATCACACAGATAAGAAGTAGGTCAGGCAAAACTTCAGGTAAATACAATCACACCATATCTAGACTCGGCGTATTTGTATGGGTGAAAGAAAATTTCTTATGATAGCAATGGCCAAAAATTCTGGAATTATATTTCTATATATATTTTGCTTAAGATTTCTCTCAATTTTCTGGGAAGTTAAAGTTCAGAAATTTTGTTTAAAATTAAAATATCCTAATTGTTTGATTTTGTGTGCATGTAAGTACAACCATTTTGAATACAAATTAAATCTCACATTAAACCTCAATCGTGCACTTTGTGCCACAAGCCAAGTTACTTTTGTTCTAATATCATATTCAATAGTCAGCTCACATATCACATACAGACTCACAGCTATCAACAGTAGCCTGTGTGTATCTGTGAACAATGACTGTTGGGCTCATTTATCCAGTTTGTTATAGTCTTCGGACAAAACACACCACAGTCAGACATGTTTTCAGATTCTCTTAGTGTTCGTGATGATCTGACACTAAGGTTTGAATGGCATTACTGTCATTCTTTCACACAGAACAAACTAAAGCTTTAGAGCTGAACTTCACTAGATATATTTGTGGACTGACCAGCAGCTTGAGGAGCCAGAAACGTGATTTGTAGTAGCAGGTCTTGAAAGGGTTGATGAGGAAAAGCAGCATGAAGCCATAAAGGATGAGAGGGTTGATCTGCATGGGGAGGTAGGTGAACTCTGAGTAGAGACAGGAGAGGATGCTGAGACACCACAACACACCCAGGAAACCAGCGATCTGTAGCAGAGACAGGAAACAGAAGGGAGAGGCATTAACAAGAAGCTCTGTTTTGTTATCAATAGAGTAGAACCGACACCCTGTGAACAAAAGCATGATTTTCAATCTAAAGTTGTTTCTCTTCATTGCAGAAAAAATGGTTAAGATAACCATTTCCATTTGTTTCTTCATTCTGACCTCAAACAGGTGTTGGTGTGACAGGTTGTTGCGGGGATTGATCTCGAAGATGAGAACATGGTTGACTCCGGCCTGCCTCCATCCATAAGTGTTGATGCCCAACAGGAAGAGGAACTGGATCAACAGGAAACCGCCCCGATAGATCCGCACCAGAGGCCACACGTTCTCGTAGCGGATGAACACAGCACCTGATAAAAGACGCTGGATTTTCTTTTTGGAATATCAAACAGGAAAGCTTTGACTGTATGAATTAAAATGTTTATGTGACTCACCGGTGAGAACAAAGGCGATGGCGAGAATGATAAAGAAGCCGCAGTAGAGACCCACACGAAAGGTTGTCCACGCCAAAGCAGGCTGAGGAAGAAAGATATAGTAAAACAGACGTTAAACAGAAACCTGGAAACTGTATATGTATATTCACGTAGAATGCTTCAATATACTTGTTTTACACATGTCTGTAGGGGACATTGGAAATGGAGAGATCAATAGTCACAGAACACAATTCAAGTCGGGCCTGACAGTAATTAATGCAGTAATAACAGTGGATATAACATGAAGGTAAAGTGCCACTGGCCTCTGTTATTTCAGAAAGATATCCTGTTCAACAATGGAGCTGCACTTATAAAATCAATACTGGAAGCTCTTGTGGTTTCTCTCACTTTGTCTCTTCCCATCTTCTTTCCTGTCTCTCCACGTCTCATGATGAGAATCTCATTGTTTGTTTTGGACCAGTGTTCATCACCAACATGAAGTTATGGCCTAATAGTTGTACGCCACCACAATCAGTCAAGTTCTAGTTTACATCTACTCAGACTCATATAATATGATGTATATTGTGAAGACCATATTGTCATCAGTTCCTCTTTGAGTTAAAATGGAAGTTTGGGATGAACATGTGGACCTACATACAAACAAAGGTCCTGAAAAGATCTGGTGAAGGCTTTGCAGGAATTTAATATAAGGTATTAAAATCGAATCATTCATCTATTTGATAACCTTGAAGCAAACTGCATTGAGGAGAATGGAATGGACGTATGGATGATGAATGAGGAATCATATATAGGAACAGACTGACATACACCAAAACATAATGCCCATGGTTGTTGTTGCTGTAGACACATAACAACAGCAAGAATACAGATACATATTTGTTCAGAGATCATTTATTATTGTGGGGATTTGGGAGTTTACTGATGTGATGGAAAAATATATGTATTTATTCAAAGATAAATTCAATTATTGTAATTTTAGTTTTTATTTATGTTATTTTAGTTTTAGATCTGGTTATTTTCCTTTGAAAATACATGAAGTAACATGAAATGAAGAAGAAAAAGCTTTTTAAGTGACGGAACTCTTCCCTCCTCTGCAGTGCAGACTGGTATTGTAGGCTGTAAGCAGACTTTGCTTTTAGTGGCTAAAGTTCAGTCTTGAGAGGAACAAATCAGGGACACACAGAGATATCACTATGAGACATCTGAACAACATGTCTGACCTGAGCTGCCCCCAGTGGAGGAACCCTCAGCCTCTTCATGGCCCTCTGACGATCTCCTCCCTCCAGCTCTGTGGTGACAAGAGTCTGGACACACGGACCACAAAGCAAAAACTTTCAGTGATCTGGTTTCATGCATGTGTTTAGTTGTCCACCAGAATCAATACATTATAGTGTGTATGTGTTTGTGTACGTGCAAGCATTTACTTCTGTCTCAGAAATGAGCTGTGTGATCTTTTTGCAGGTGTAGAAAGGCGCCACCTCCACGTGAGCCACACGCCAGTCTGCGCCGCGAGGAGTGTCCAGGATCTTGTCATGTTTCTTCAGGATCTTACGGAAACCAGTGAAGTTCAGGTTCTGTGGACGGCAACAAGGAAACACAAGCGAGCATGAAATTATTCCATTTAAAGTTAAGTTAGGGAAAATCTAATTATATATCCGGCCAGAGTAATGTCTGCAGTAAAGGTGTGTGTGTGTGTGTGTGTGTGTGTAACCTGGTAGTTCTGGAGCAGGATGAGGCTGAGGTAGAACTCGCTGAAGGCTAACTTCAGGTCCTTGATGTTGTGGTGTTTGCAGCGCTCCTCCTGCGACAGGTGGAACATGGTCTTGCGCTTGCGAAGGCCGGGCGGTGCGTTGCTCTCGCGCTGAGCGTCCAGTGATGACTGGAGCTCATTCTGCAGCGTGGCAGAACGTCTCTGGGCTTCAGCGAGCTTTTCTACAGAGAGCAAGACGAGAACATGGGTGACAGGAGGTTTTAGGAAACATTTTGCATGTGTGCATGTGCATATTTGATAATGCAGATATTCACACTTGCACACTTGCAGATATTAACACTTGCCAGCTGTGCAACTTCTCTGAACCACTGGAGATTTAAATACTATTCTCACTCAGTAGCTATATTAATTGTAGTCAGTACCCCAGTAATGTTAGTTTGATTCAATAATATTTAGGTATATTATTTTCTAAGAGCAACATATGGGACAAAAAAATAATTTTAATGTTAGAATTGATAACATCATCGATAAAGAGAATAATATTATAGCATATAGTTAATGCAATAGCTCGTCACATGTGTTTTGGTAATTTAACTATTAAGCCTGAGGACATTTCTGACAAAATGCTGGAAAGAGATGTCAAGACTTCAGTTTGACATCAACGATCCTGGTAGAGGGAAAGTTTCTGTAATGAGCTATATGTACAAAGGTGACGACTTAAAATAAAAAATTTCCTCCTCTCATCCCTTGACTTTGTTCCAAGAAGCAGAACCATGGAGACTATCAGGCTGAGTCGACATAAGGAACCATTATGCAGGTCAGACAAAGGCTAATACAACCACTGTGAGTGACAGAGAGGGAGAAGAGCGGGGCCTGGGCAGTAACCTTTCATTCCATTAACTTCTCTCGTACTTCCTGCCTTTTCTGACAGCGATTAACCCTCATTGTTCCATTACATGTACTTGTTTTTTATATCAGAAGCCAAACTAAGCTCAGATTTTCTGTTTCTTTCAAACCACATTCTCCTTTTCCTAATTTCCTGTTTTTATTGTTACAACCTTTTGAGATGAAACTCTTATTACAATACAGGTGTTAAAGTCCAAATAAAACTACCTTTGCTTTGCTTTGCCCCTAAAACCCTGTACATTTTTACACAAGTTCTAAAGTCGGCTAACCAAGGCCACTGAGTTTTCTAAGATGATACAGTCAGTGTGATCATTTCTTACAAACACACTGTGTGCATGTGCATATAATGTTTATTTTCAAAAGATTCAACTGAGTCTTGTTTGATATATTTACGTGGTTACTTCTTGCTTTGAGAAACCATTAAACAAACCGACCTGGAGTCACATTAATCTCACTGATATTTTCTTGCAGTTCTGTATGTGACAGCAAATCTGATTTGTTCTGAAGCTGCCAGCCCGACAGTCTGGAGGAAAAGAGACTCGAGTGTCATAAACCAGCAGTCGTGATGTGGAGAGATCACCGGTGACTTTCACACTTTGTCGCTTGAGCGCACACCCACATAGACATTTCCAGATATCACACTACCTGCCTCACAGGAACGCCATTGCATTTCTTTTGACATCTTAATTCACCAGAATCCCTCTATGGGCTCATCTTGTCTGTCAAAACAACAGCAGGAGCAGCGTGAGAAAGTCAAGACCCCGACTAATTTAGATTAAATCTGAGAGTCTGGGAGAGCAGCGTCACTTCACAGCAGAGGACGAGGCTGGACAGGTTGTCTGTGTGGGGTAAATGAACTTGAAAGAGGCAGGTGTTGGTTTAGATTTTTTTTTGCTGATGTGGGTTTAAAGAGCCTGTTGTTCTTCTTCTCAGCTTTCAGTAACAGAGAGGGTGAAAGGATATAATGTTGAATCAGCGGTCTGCAAAAACTTCTGCTCGGTGTGTGTTTAACCTGTGATGATAAAAGTGTGTCCGACAGTGCAGCACAGCAGAATGGCTTTGAGAGGTCAGTGACCCCTTTCAGAGAGATATGGATGGAAAAAGTTACGTGGAGGCGAATGTCTCATGTGAAGTCAGCACACGATTTATTTCCATCTCTGAACTTGTTCTCTTTCAAAAACCTAAGCTTTTTCAAACCACACACACACACACACACACACACACACACACACACACACACACACNCACACACACACACACACACACACACACACACACACACACACACACACACACACACACACACACACACACACACACACACACACACACATAAAGCCTGTCAGACACATCTCTAATGTCCTGCTTCACTCTCCTGTGTGTGGAGGATAAACAAGACGCCTCAGCGCATGCAAGGAGACGCTGATGTTTTCATGTACAACATTTAACCTCACTCCTCCTCCAGTCTGCTGTGGAAACAGTGACTCACTCGCTGTAACACTAAGCTGTCAACATTACAAATCACACGTAGCATTGAATATATTAGAACTGACAGTGAAGTCATTGTTTTGTTCTGTTTACAGAATGAATTAAACACAAAAGAGAAGTGATCTAAAAACCATTAACTCGACAAACTATAACAGTATTTAAGATTTTAATATTGCATTATATTATGAAGCAATTTGACTCTCTTATCAAGAACCATGTGTTTAGTGGACAACCCTCTCGCTGGCGACCAGTTAACGATGTACCCCACCTCTAACCCACTGTCGGCTGAGATTGGTCCCAGCTCCCCCTACAACCCTCAAAAGGATGGAGGGTAATGAAGGACTGAGCTAAACAAGACGGCCTGCAACTTTTTGGCATTTGTCATTTACTTCAGTAAATCAACCTCCTGTAACAAGGTCCACAATAATTCCTACCCTGTTTATCTGCAGCTCTACTCAACCGTCACTGACAGTAATATATGTCCCATCATTATGAAATGGAACAATCTCGCCAGTCAGCCTTGGCCCTCTGTTGACCTGTAGAACCTGCAGTTACACAGACGGCCTCTAGAGGAAGCACTGCCTCTCCTTGGATACACAAACTACCCCCCGGAGCTTAAGTTCAAGAGCAGAGGGCAGAATACCAGAATATATCGCGGCCTCCATCTCATGTTACATTGCACAAGTACTCCCTTGACACCTGAAATACACACAGCCAGCCTGCTCGACTGAACATGACTAAGCACTGGCTACTTCAATCAAATGACCAGGATTAGACACAATGACATTTGGCACTGAACTACTAGAGCAACATGTCCCTCTTAAACTCAGTACAGAGTAAACAAACTGTGCAACAACTTGTATATTATTATACACATAATTATTTACATTTTTATAAGCCTATACCATAAAAGTTATTAAATGAGTCTGAAATTGCCTCATTGTTGTTTCAGATGATTGATTTAAGAAGTCAATACAACTGGTCCTCACATAATCACACTAGTCATTTCACTTCATTAATCTAAAATGTATTGAACTATGATTTGATCTTATCTGTATTGATCATCTCAGGTATAAGTAGCATGAATATATACCTGAATAGAAGGTGTTGATTTTCAGCAGCTCCTTCTCACAGGTCTGGAAAAACCTCTCCTCAAACTTGGCGTAGTATCTCTTCACCGTGTCTTCATCAGTGACTGTGCAAAGAAAATAAACAGACACAGAAATCGTGATTAGTTGCATGTTTACATTCTTGGTCTGAGCTCTTGTCAGGGATTCCCATTCATAAAGTTACACAGTGTTCAGTACAGTGATCCAAAGCATGGTTTATATTGTGGTGAGAGGAATGAAGGATGAAGCCATGTCAAAGATGCTCCTGGTCCTGCATGGTTGTGTTCTGCTGCTACAGGATTTTTCCAGTTTTAGGTTTTTTTACCACAAAAAACAATCTTCAGAACTATGGTTGACTATGATTAGTTAACACAGTGTGGGCATTTACTAGATTCAACTTAGAGGATGTACAGTGGTTTCTTTGGTGTCCAATGTTTTCATGACCTTTGGTAACCAAACCGAGTTTACCAATTTAAAACAAAAGTTATTTCTGTAGACATGTTTACGCAGAGAGTGTCTGGACCGTGACAAACACACGTCCATTCAGAGTTACAGTTGGATCGATCGCTTCCTTCCGTCTCTTCTCTCTGACAGAAACCTGCAAATCTTTTTCAGGCCCAGTTAATTTAATCAGCATCGATGCTCTGTCTCAAATAATTCTCTGCTTCATTCACAGCAGGACACCTGACACCTGAAAAAAACTCAAGTGGGGAGCAGGGTTCAGGCTAGAATTCACACACGCACACACACACACACACACTCATATTATTTCCACACATATTCTACATGTACATCTGCAGCATGACCAGAACCTAAATGTCATATCAGGATTAATTCCAAGCAGCATCAAGAGAGATGTGAGTTTCTCTGGATAATGGCTCTACAGTGTTAGTTCCAATGGTTTTATCGGCTCGTAAACATGAGCTGCTATAAAAATTCACCCCTGGTTGCAAACAGCCAGATGGAGAAGCCTTCTATTCAACGCTGTAATAAGAGAGAGACGCCCCGGGCAGCAGCCTGTCAATATCATTGTTCTATTCACACACAAACACACACGTTTGCAGCAGGGATGTGCGAGACTGTGATGAAAATGTGAAAAGACGTTCAACAGAGTCCAACAGCTTTACAAGGAAAATAAATGAGAAAATGCCTCCACAACTTTCGATCAATCAATTTTTAATTAAACAACATTCTGCAGGTGGAAATACTGTACAGCCTAAAGTATTCAGGACAAAATCCTCTGGAGCATGAGACATTTCCTACAGTAGATCTACAAGAACTGCTCTGCAATTTACTTCAGCCCATGTTAGTGAAATTGTTTGAGTGCCTTAAAGTATCGTGCTCATTAAACATCCAAAACAAGATCATTACAGTAATGACCAAAGCTTAAAATGGAACCGTATACAACCAACATTTCTTTATGGATAAACATGTAGTTTGCAAAAAAGAAGAAACTTCTACTTAGGATGAACAGTGATGTTACCTGAGATAAAATGGGGAAAGAAGACAGAGGACAAGGAAAGAGAGCTGTTGTAGTAGCAGTAGATGTGATACAGGTTCAATGTAAGGACTCAAACAAGTTTAAGCAAAGAAACGGAAGAACATATAGAAACTATTACAATATAACTATTTTGGTCCAAATTGTGATGTATAACTACCCCTTAATTGCAAACCACCAGGGCACTGGAACACATTTTTGTCCCCCCACACAAAACTGAACCAAACCTCGGATGTGGAAATACGTTACATCCCTACATACAATCATGCAGAGCTCAGCTTCCTCGACAGCCTCCAGCTGACAGGCTGCCTGCTGCAGATGGATGGATGACTGTGTGCATGGAGGTAAACATGCTTGAACTGCAGACCAATCGTCTGGCTAACAGGTCAGCTTAATGACTGAGTCACAGAATGATGAATGGTCCGATATGCGCCCTCAGTTAAATCTGCAGGTAAGCAGCAGACTGAGTTGTATTCATTCAAATGAAAAGGTTACGCTGCCAGTGAACACTTTGTATTCAGGAGAACTAAAGGATCAAGACAAAGTGCTGCAGGAGGAAAAACACAAGAAGCAGCAAGTGAACTGTGGCTGATTTAACATGTGATATGTTTTCTATGCACCAAACATTGGGTTTAATAATAAATCTGATTTGTCAGAGAAACTGTCACTTAGAGTTTCCTCTTACAGGCAGTATCTGAAACTGTGCTGTGTCAACTGAGCTGCTGAATAGAGCGATAGTGAAAAGTTGTCTAACAGAGTGAGTGTGTCAGTGAGAGTGTGGTTGGATGAAAGCAGATGAGAGGGCAGGTAGGTAGAAGAGGGGTTATGAAATGGCTCTGCACCTCCGCCTCTTTGTTTCCTTTGGTGCACTGATGAACACTCTAGTGTAGGTGTGTGTTTGTGTGTGTATCCAAGTACAATACACACATCTGCTTTTATTCAAGCACTCATATGCATCAGGTGGGTGATGTGAAAGAACAAAGCAGAGTTCTCACAGTGGTTTGTGGCTCTTTGTTAAAACCTCTGCAGCTGCTGAAACCATCCTGACATCTGTCTGCGCTTCAACCTGGCACACACTTCTCCTTCATCCTGCATTAACTCAAATCCACATCAGAACCATCTCATAATTACATCGTCTCAACTCAGGATGAGCAGAAAAACTATGTGATGAAAATAAAACATAATTATGAATAAAAATCTGTCGTCTGTGTCTTTAATCTAATCTGTGGTGCCGGTGTTCATGTAAATCTGACAGCTTCTCTTTCAGCTACACAGTGTGTGTTCTCATTATCTCCTGTCTAGGTAGATGATCACAGAGAGTCCAACAGCGTTCACTGAAGGGATGAGGTAGACAAGTGTTTTGGACCTCATGGTAAACGATAATGGTGAATTTAAAAGACTGAGAGAAAAGTCAGAAAATCAGTAAATGAGTTCTGCCATTAGAATATTCATGTAATATGACAAATCTTAAAGTGTTACTAGCATTATTTTTGCCTACTACTGATAAAATGAATTACACATTTTCATTGTGTTTTTTATAAAGTACCAACACTGTTTCTCCCATAAAATCTTTTTTTAGATGTTTTGTTCAGATGAGCAAGTTTGTTCTGAGAGTGAGAATCCTTATTTTTATATATTTGTACATGTAAAGAAATGCTAATTTTACTAATAATGATAATAATGTTTGTATGCAGGGGCTGTTTTTACTACTTTCTAGTTCAAAACTATGCAAATTATTTGGAACATATCCTGGGGCTGCCTTAAGACTATACTGCATACAAGTGTAACTACTATCCAGGATCTAATTTAATTAAAGCAAATCGTTAAAGAAACAAGAATTACTGCCCTGGCCTGTTGTCTCCACTGACCACTGAAGTTGCAGTTTACACCCATGTCCATCCAGAGACTTATATGTACTTGTAGTTTTATAATAAGCATTTGAATTGAGTTAAGGCAAAGAAAAAACTTGTTTTGTGAGATCAGACTGATATTGACTCTTCACCTTTGACCTTTGAAAACTTAATCAGTTCATCCATCGATGCAAAAAAAGGATTTACCTCTTTTAATTCAGCACCAACAGCTAAATCAAAACAAGCAAGACATGCAGGAGTATCTTGAGTTCCACGTTGGTACAACATGCTATGAGACGCTCCAGTTGTATGTGTCTGTTGTGTTCATTCATCGGCTTCACTTTTTCAGACAAAGAATTGTGCTGGTAGCAAGAAAAACAACTCTTGACCTGCAGTATTCCCATGGCAGCTTGTAGAAGGCTGCACCCCCCCTTCCACTAACCCCTTCTTCTGTAGATTGTATAAATAAATGATGAGACAGCTTCCCCAGAACCCGACTGCTCTAACCCCCAAAACCCTGCAAACACACACACACACACCCCACCCCCAACTTCTTATATTCCCACACAGCCATTCTGAAGCGACCCCATAAAACCAGCACATAAATCCTTCATTGACACCCTCTAACTTACTGACAGTGAGATGGAATCAGAGGACAACATCTGACACAAACACATAAAGTCCACTCTTTCTAACACTCCTCACTTCTCAGCGGCCTTAGGGTTTTTTTTTTTGGCAAGTAAAATTTTGTTGGTTAAGCTTCGAATCTCTGTACAATTAATGATATGTGAGTTACAGAATCCGCTCGGGCTTAAGAGCTTTAATAAGACAAAACATTTTTTTTTAACAATTAATCTATGGAATAATCAATTGAATGGAAGTAAACTAATCGATAGTCGCAGCATTAATAATGGTCCACTGTTACAATGTGCTGCTGTTTCACCTGTTCTGTGCTGAAAATCAGAGTTAGGAGAGACGAGCAAGGTGAAAGGGTGCTGAGGAGAGACGAGGGGAAGCTCCTGGTGTCTGGTTTCCTCTGTGTTAGGAGCTCAGATATCATCTGGCCGTACAGTGGAGCCAGGAGACAGGGAGGACACACACACAAGCACACAAATACGCACTTACACCAATACACACATTGTATGTCCCTATTTTTAAGCTCTATTTATCCCATCTAAGGACACTCCCTGTGGGGTATAAACTATGTTCTGATGGCATTACTGTCTTGGGAGCTGAGGAGGCCATTACATTATGATTGTTGCTGTATTAACTTCGCTTATCACTTCCCTGCAAGCACGCAGGTGTAAATCACACACACGATGAGAAAGACAAACTGAGCAATAAAAGCGAATGGGATTGACTTAACTCTGGGCTAATATTAATCTAGAGAGAGAAAAAGAGCGAGAGCATAAAAACAATTTCAGCATCCTCCAGTGCCATACTGTAAGGGAGTAAACACAACACTAAAAACCAGCCAGACAACCAACCCCCCCTCCCATTCTTCAATCTCGCCTTTTTTTTCTCACTTATTCCCATTCGGCCCTCCAGCCACAATTAATTCTACCAATCGTCTCCCTCATCGAGGCCAGGGGAGCATTAAGAATGCACACTCACTGGGATAGACTCACTGGTTGCCTGGGAGGACCGGAGGCAGGACGAGGAACTATTGTGTACTATTTATACTGCCAGACTGCAAGCTAAGCAGCTCGAAAAAACATAAAATACACATGCCTAGAGT